TGTTATCTCGATCTGCACCTCTCGTGTTCCATACCAATGCCACCACCGATGGTTGGCGTTTCCAAATGCTTTGGGGCTGCGATCTCCTTTCGGCCAGTGGCTGGTCAAAAGTCCAGGGCCTCTCCGTCCGGTCCCAAAAATGCGTGGTTGGGGTCAAAGTCTCCCCGGCTTATCTCTCCTGGCGTGGCCTTTCCAGAAGGAAACTGATTCGTCATCTCTCTCTCCAGCTGTTTACGCCGGGGACGCGGTCTTGTCTGGGCACCGAAAGGGCACCCGAGGTGAAGTCTGATTGCCGGCGGTGGCCTCTTTGTGTTTTTTGGTTATCTGGTTGGGTTTGGCTTCCCTTGTAATAAAACCGGGAAGGATGTGCAGGCCGGTTATGAGCCCGTCCGAATTGACAGTCACTTGACCGGCACAAAAATATTAGAAACCAGGCTGTCATTCAACATATTCAGGCTGAGTATCCCTTGTCCAAAATATCCACCTGAGATTGCAACAGATGCTTTGATATGTGTCAACTTTGCTCCATCCGCCATTCAAATCCAAGGAGCTGGGTGAGCTCCCGCTGTTACCCCCAGCTTCTGCCAACCTAGCAGTTCGAAAACATGTAAATGTGAGTAGATCAATAGGTACACCGATTGAGTACTTCCTCCTTCTTTTGCACGCTACTGGAGATTTTTATGGCATCATAAATTACTTAAGTTAGCATGGAATACTTCCTCATTCTTTTGTGAATAGATCAATAGGTACACCGATGGAGTACTTCCTCATTCTTTTGCATGCTGCTGGAGATTTTTATGGCGTCATAAATTACTTAAGTTAGCATGGAATACTTCCTCATTCTTTTGTGAGTAGATCAATAGGTACACCGATGGAGTACTTCCTCATTCTTTTCCACGCTGCTGGAGACTTTTATGGCGTCATAAATTATTTAAGTTAGCATGGAGTACTTCCTCCTTCTTTTGCACGCTGCTGGAGATTTTTATGGCGTCATAAATTACTTAAGTTAGCATGGAGTACTTCCTCATTCTTTTGTGAATAGATCGATAGCTACACTGATGGAGTACTTCCTCATTCTTTTGCACGCCGCTGGAGATTTTTATGGCATAAATTACTTAAGTTAGCTTGACAGTGGGTGAGCTCCCGCTGTTAGCCCTAGCTTCTGCCAACCTAGCAGTTCAAAAACATGTAAATGTGAGTAGATCAATAGGTACACCGATGGAGTACTTCCCCATTCTTTTGCACGCTGCTGGAGATTTTTATGGTGTCATAAATTACTTAAGTTAGCATGGAGTACTTCCTCATTCTTTTGCACGCTGCTGGAGATTTTTATGGCATCATAAATTACTTAAGTTAGTTTGACAGTGGGTGAGCTCCCACTGTTAGCCCCAGCTTCTGCCAACCTGGCAGTTCGAAAACATGTAAATGTGAGTAGATCAATCGGTACACCGATGGAGTACTTCCTCATTCTTTTGCACGCTGCTGGAGATTTTTATGGTGTCATAAATTACTTAAGTTAGCTTGACAGATGCAACTGTCTTTCAGGCTGCAAAGGGTCGACAGCAAGCTAGACAAATGGTCGGAAAACATGCAAATATGAGTAGATCAATAGGTAGCACTTCTGCGGGAAGGTAACGGTGCTCCCTTCAGTCATGCTGACCACATGACCTTGGAGGTGTCTACGGAAAATGCTGGCTCTTCAGCTTAGAAATGGAGATGAGCACCACCACCCAGTTGGACGTGATGAGACTTAATGTCCAGGGAAACCTTTACTAGTATGTTCTGTTGGTCATGTGGGGGTCTGTGAGCCAAGTTTGGTCTAGGTCCGTCATGCATGGGGGTCGCAGTGGTCTGTGGGAGGCGAATCAGATGATGGTACTGCAAATCCGAATGTCCATGGTCTGTCCTCCCTCAAACTGCCCCAGGACGTATAGTGGGTCATGGGGAGGGGGTGTCTGTGTGCCAAGTTTGGTCCAGGTCCGTCATTCTTGGGGGTCACAATGGTCTGAGGGAGGTGAATGGGGTGATGGTACTGCAAATCCGATTGCCCACAGTCCTCGAACTGCCCCAGGATGTAGAGTGGGTCATGGGGGGCTGTCTATGTGGCAAGTTTGGTCCAGGTCTGTCATTTGTGGGGGTCGCAGTGGTCTGTGGGAGGTGAAGTAGTGAGATGATACTGGAAATCCAATTGTCCATGGTCCACCCTCCCTCAAACCGCCCCAGGACGTAGAGTGGATCATGGGGGGGGGGGGGGGGTGGGGTCTGTGTGCCAAGTTTGGTCCAGGTCCGTCATTCGTGGGTGTCGCAGTGGCCTGTGGGAGGTGAAATGGGGTGATGATACTGGAAATCCAATTGTCCATGATCAACCCTCCCTCAAACTGCCCCAGGATGTAGAGTGGGTCATTGGGGGGGGGGGGGGTCTGTGTGCCAAGTTTGGTCCAGGTCCATCATTCATGGTGGTTGCCATGGTCTGTGGGAGGTGAATGGGGTGATGGTACTGCAAAACCCATTGTCCGTGGCCTATCCTCCTCCAAACTGCACTGGGACATATAGTGGGTCATGGGGGCTGTCTGTGTGCCAAGATTGGTCCAGGTCCATCATTCATGGGGGTCGCAGTGGTCTCTGGAAGTGAGTGAAGGTATTGCAAATCCCATCATCCATGTCAAGTTTGGTCCAGATCTATCGTTGGTTGGGTTCACAGTGCTCTCTGGATGTAGATGAACTACAACTCCTATAAATCATGGCAAATTCTCCCCAAACCTCTCTAGTATGTTCAGTTGCTGATCAATTCCTCTGTTTGTGGTGCGCCATTGGAAAGGATAGAAAAGGGTTCAGGGAGAGACAGTGGGAGGGGTCGTGCAAATTCCACACCCATGGAGAGAGAAAGGAACCCTGGGATGTCCATTCTGGAGGAAAAACAGAACATCTAGGGTGAATTTGTCCCTGAATGAAAGCATTTCTTGGGTAGTGGGCAGTATGGTGTTTGGGGAGGACATTGGCAGGGGTTGGGAGACATGTTCATGGCACTTCCTATAATCTGAATTTTTTTTTAATGTGTATAGATGAACAATTTTTAATGTTTTTGTGTTTTTCTGGGGATGTTTTTGCAGGCTACGGTGAGCTGAACGGCAACGTTGGGGAGAGGGAATGCTCCCTGAAAGGCCTGAACGCCGGCGATGTGCCCAGTCCAATTTCGAGGGTCACCAATGGCAGCCAAACCCCAGGAGACACTACTTTCACCCTGAAACCGATGGCGAAAGGCGGCCCTTTTGGGAAACCGGGGCTCAAGTCCAAGGGCTTCCTTCCGAAAGCGAGCATGGACAAGAAGAGCGAGAAATGTTACGAGAGCAAGGCGCGGGAGGAGAAGTCGGAGGCGGTTCCGATCCCGAATGGCGTGGTGACGAACACTTCCTGCTACATCACCAACGGTTACGCCGGCAAAGGGGCCGACAATGACGGCAGCGGGTCAGAGAGCGGCTACACGACCCCCAAGAAGCGGAAGGGGCGCCCCAATAGCATCAAGGGCTGCGAGAGCTTGGAAAAGACGACTCCGCAGGACCCTCCGGTTGCGCCGGAACCGGAAGGCTTCAGACCCGACGGCGGTGGGGATACAAAAGCAGGGCCCCACATTGAGGGACTGAAGCCGGCGTGGAAATGCGAGGGGGGCACTTTGGGGATGGGACGCGGCAAGCCGGGGCCGACGGAGATGCCGAGGAAGAACTCGGACACCAAAGTCGGGATGGTCGGCAAGAAATTCGAGGAGCGGCCCAAGGGTAAGCCCGTCTCAGCCTCAAAAGAGGACTCCTGGACTCTCTTCAAACCGCCACCCGTTTTCCCCGTTGACAACAGCAGCGCCAAGATCGTCCCGAAGATCAGCTATGCCAGCAAGGTGAAGGAGAACCTCAATAAGTCCGCACAGAACCCCACGTCGTCCCTGTCATCGTCGTCCTCCTCTTCTTCGTCCTCTTCCTCCTCTTTGTGTTTATCATCCGCCACAGACGGGCCGCTCCCGACTCCCAACCGCCTCTCCCAAGTCCCTATGTCTGCCATGAAATCGGTCACTTCGGTCAACTTCTCCAACGGGCCGGTTCTGGCGGGTGCTGACCGCGGAGTCTCGTGTCCGGTGGGTACTCAATCGCTGCTCGTCCCCGCATCCGGCGCCATCTTATTCACCCCTTCCGAGTCGGCGCCCCCAGAGGAACCCAAGCCGAGCCTTTTAATCTACCCGTCAAATATGCAAGCCCTCCTCCTCGATGCCGCGAGCCGAGCCGAGCCCGCTTCTTTCCAGGGCCACCTCCAGCAGAACCTGGGGGACATTTTCCAGAACAAGTGGGGCCTGTCGTTCATCAACGAGCCCAGCGCGGGGCCGGAGAAGCCGGCGGAGGGTCAGGCCCCAGAGGTGACGTTTCATGGGGAGTTCCCCGGCACTTTGGCCGCTCCGACGGGGCCCAACCCACCACCCGCTTTCCCCAAGGCTTACGAATTGGACAAACGGACTTGTCCGCCACCGCTCCTGAACAATCTCCTCAAGCTGGGGACACCCTGCGATGGAGGCGGCGGAGGCGGCTTCTTTTTGGACTCCCATCCTCCGGGGGGACCGCGCCTGGCCGACCTCGGGGCCCCCGGGGGCCCCTTTGTCTTTCTTGCCAAGGACTGCCACGTCGAGAACCGGCTGGCTTCCCCTACGAACAATTTGTTAGCCTCCGCCAAAGAACAGAGGTACCCGAGAGGCCTAGAACGGAAAGAGAGTTGGGGTGACTTCGACCTGCGGGCCGCCGTTCTATATCATACTCAAGGTAAGACTCTTATTTGGTCGGTTGACTCCCTTTCGGAAAGGTCTGGGAGATTGGATCTGACTTGGTACAGGTATGATTTGGTATAGGTAGTTTTTCTCATCACTTGCTCACAAATTTATTTATTTTATTTTTTTGGGAAGAGGTCCCTGTAGGTTGGTCCTTCTAACTGGTTCATGGTCCTTCAGACTGTTGTGGGGCCGGACTATAGTTTGAAAAAAAAAAACCAAACAAAGTAGGATTGTAATTTTTGTGTGCCTTCAAATAATTTCAGACTTAGAGCAATCTGAAGTCTATAATATAGTTTAGGGCGGAATCCAGGTACATGATCTTAACAGTCTTTCAAGTTGTTTCAATCTTAGAGCAACCTGAAATCTATAATATAGTTTAGGGCAAGAGCAGGGTACATGATCTTGATAGGCTTTCATGTCGTTTCAATCTTGGAGCAACCTGAAATCTATAATATAGTTTAGGGCAGGAGCAGGGTACATGACCTTGACAGGCCTTCAAGTCATTTAAATCTTAGAGCAACATGAGTCTGTAATATAGTTTAGGGCGGGAGCAGTTACATGATCTTGACAGGTCTTCAAGTTGTTTCAATCTTAGAGCAACCTGAAGTCAATAATATAGCTTAGGGCAGGAGCAGGTACATGACCTTGACAGGCCTTCAAGTTGCTTCAATCTTAGAGCAATCTGAAGTCTATAATATAGCTTAGGGTGGGAGCTGGGTACATGATCTTGACAGGACTTCATTTCAGACTTAGAGCAACTTGAAGTCTATAATATAATTTAGGGTGGGAGCCGGGTACATGACCTTGACAGGCCTTCAAGTCATTTCAATCTTAGAGCAACATGAGTCTATTATATAGTCTAGAGTGGGAGCTGTGTACCTGATCTTGACAGGCCTTCAAGTCATTTCAATCTTAGAGCAACCTGAAGTCTATAATATAGTCTAGGGCGGGAGCCAGGTACATGAACTTGACAGGCCTTCAAGTCGTTTCAATCTTAGAGCAACTTGAAGTCTATAATATAGTTTAGGGTGGGACCTGGGTACATTTTCTTAAGAGTCTTTCAAGTCGTTTCAAACTTAGAGCAACCTGAGGTCTATAATATAGTTTAGGGCGGGAGTCGGGTACATGATCTTAACAGGCCTTCAAGTTGTTTCAGACTTAGAGCCTATAATGGAGCTTAGGGTGGGAGCTGGGTAGATGATCTTGATGGGCCATAGCTTGGGGACCCTTGCCCTATCACATCCCCCCTCGGGGCTCTTCTTGCGAGCGGATCCCTTCCTCCTTGCCTCCCATCCTCCTCCTCTGCTCATCCTTTTGATTTGAAACAATTCCACTTGACACCCGGCCCTCGAAACGGAGCGTTGTGCTTCAGTGGCCAAGTGGGTCAGGAGGGAGAGGGGGGAGTTGTGGATTCAGCGTTTCTGCTCTCGCTCTGTGTGTGTCTGCGCTGGCTTCCCCTCCAGCCCACCCCCCAGGATGTCTCCATATTTTTGGTACAGAGAAAAGGTGGTTTTTACCTAGTTCTTCTTGAGTTGAAATCAGTCCTGATCCAATGAAGGGCAACTGAGGTTCCAGATCCAGAATGTTTTGAGGTTGTGATAAAAAAAGTTGCTAGTCCTCAAGGTTACTGGCAGAAGGACACCCGGTACATTCAAGATTTAATATGAGGGTGACCGAGGCGGTGGCTTCACGGAGCAGATTGTCCTGAAAGAATGGGGAACGTGTTGGATTTGTTGTTGTTATTACATTTACTGCCATGGAAAAGGTCCCTGTTTACCCCATTTGGGTAAGAAGAAGCAAGGCATCATCATCATCATCATCATCAACAACAACAACAAGACACTTGGGAAGTGTCCGATGTGTAGTTGAACAACAACAACAACAAGAGGCAGATACTTGGGAAGTGTCCGATGTGTGCTTGAATACAAAAGCCAGAAGGAAAAAAGAGAAAACGAGGAGGAAGGAAGAGAAAGATAGAAGGGAGGGAAGAATAAAGGAAAGAGAGAAGGAGAAAGGGGGCAAGGGAAAGAAGGAAGGACAAAGGGGTGAAAGGGAAGGATGGTAGGAGAAAGAGGGAGGGAGGTAAGGAGGAAGGAAAGTAAAGGGAAGGAAGGAGAAAGGGAGAGAGGGAGGGAAGGAAGGAAGGACAAAAGGGTGAAAGGGAAGGATGGGAGGAGAAAGAGGGAAGGAGGTAAGGAGGAAGGAAAGAAGGAGAGAAGGGAAGGAAAGTAAGGAAGGAAGGAAGAAAAGGGAGAGAGGGAAGGAAGGAAGGAAGGACAAAAGGGTGAAAGGGAAGGATGGGAGGAGAAAGAGGGAAGGAGGTAAGGAGGAAGGAAAGAAAAGGGAGAGAGGGAAGGAAGGAAGGACAAAAGGGTGAAAGGGAAGGATGGGAGGAGAAAGAGGGAAGGAGGTAAGGAGGAAGGAAAGTAAAGGGAAGGAAGGAGAAAGGGAGAGAGGGAGGGAAGGAAGGAAGGAAGGACAAAAGGGTGAAAGGGAAGGATGGGAGGAGAAAGAGGGAAGGAGGTAAGGAGGAAGGAAAGAAAAGGGAGAGAGGGAAGGAAGGAAGGACAAAAGGGTGAAAGGGAAGGATGGGAGGAGAAAGAGGGAGGGAGGTAAGGAGGAAGGAAAGAGAAGGAAGGAAGGAGAAAGAGGGAGGTAAGGAAGGAAGGGAAGGAAAAGGAGGGAAAGGGAAGGAGGGAGGAGGAGAAAGAAGGGAAGGAAGGAGAGGAAGGAAGGAAGGAAGGACAAAAGGGTGAAAGGGAAGGATGGGAGGAGAAAGAGGGAAGGAGGTAAGGAGGAAGGAAAGTAAAGGGAAGGAAGGAGAAAGGGAGAGAGGGAGGGAAGGAAGGAAGGACAAAAGGGTGAAAGGGAAGGATGGGAGGAGAAAGAGGGGGAGGTAAGGAGGAAGGAAAGTAAAGGGAAGGAAGGAGAAAGGGAGAGAGGGAGGGAAGGAAGGAAGGACAAAAGGGTGAAAGGGAAGGATGGGAGGAGAAAGAGGGAAGGAGGTAAGGAGGAAGGAAAGAAAAGGGAGAGAGGGAAGGAAGGAAGGACAAAAGGGTGAAAGGGAAGGATGGGAGGAGAAAGAGGGAAGGAGGTAAGGAGGAAGGAAAGAAAAGGGAGAGAGGGAAGAAAGGAAGGAAGGACAAAAGGGTGAAATGGAAGGATGGGAGGAGAAAGAGGGAAGGAGGTAAGGAGGAAGGAAAGACAAAAGGGAAGGATGGATGAAAGGGTTGAAGGGAAGGAGGAAAGAAAGAGAAGGAAGGAGGGAAGGGGGAAAGAAAGAGAAAGAAGGAGGGATGAACGAAACGGTGGAAGGATGGAAAAAGAAAGGGAGGTAAGGAGAAAGGAAAGTCAAAAGGGAGGGAAGGATGAAAAGGTGGAAGGGAAGGAAGGACAAAAGGGTGAAAGGGAAGGATGGTAGGAGAAAGAGGGAGGGAGGTAAAGAGGAAGGAAAGACAAAAGGCAAGGAAGGAGGAAAGGGTTGAAGAGAAGGAGGAAAGAAGGAAGGAAGGGTGAAACAGAAGGATGGAAGGAGAAAAAGGGAGGAAGCAAGGAGAAAGGAAAGACAAGGGAGGGAAGGATGAAAAGGTGGAAGGGAAGGAGGAAGGAAGGACGAAAGGGTGGAAAGGAATAAAAGGAGGGAGAAAGAGGGAGGAATGAGAGGAGGAAGGAATGATAAAAGGGAAGTAAGGAGAAAGAGGGAGGAGGAAAGGAAGGAAAGACAAAGGTGGAAGAGAAGGAGGGAGGGAAGGAAGAAGGAAGGAAAGAAAGAGAGAAGGCAACATCAGTCATCCAGACTTTTTTTCTTTTCCACAATCGTGATGTCTGATGTATTGTGTTCCAAAACTTTGTCAGTCTGGATTTGAAAGTCCCACAATATTTTTGCATGTTCATTTTCCACAAGCTTTGCGGGTTTATGATCCTTTTACTAGTTCTTTACTACTGCTAGGTGGTCCTACCAGTAGTAAAGTTCCAATGACTCATTTGGGCCACAGAGTTGTGCCTCTGTTTGTAGTCTGACTGTGCAGTTTTCTTGCAGCAGCTGAGGAGATTTTGGGTCATCAGCTGATTTTTCGATCCTGGCCTTAATTGCATTGTCGTCATTGTTGTCGTTGTTGTTGTAGGAGATTTTGGGTCATTAGCTGATTTTTCGATCCTGGCCTTAATTGCATTGTCGTCATTGTTGTCGTTGTTGTTGTTGTTGTTATTATTATTATTATTATTATTATTATTATTATTATTATTATTATTATTATTTGAATCCCATGAACATAGCTGAAAACATTGGATGGCCATTTGGCTTTTTAGCTGATAGAAAAGGATTATTTTAGATGGTAAAAACAGATTATTTCCTTCCACTAATTTTGTTTTTCTCTCTTTTTTTTCAGAAATGGAATCTCTTTGTAATTTGCAAAAACAAGGTGAGGACGACGAACGGAGGAGCTTCTCCTCGAACCGGGGGGAAGGGGGTGAATTCGGCTCATTTTGATCCATTCGTTCCATTCCCGGGACCCTCCGAAAACGACTTTTTAACCTCTTCTCCTCTCTGTTTCCTTTCCCAGACCCCAAAAGGATAATCACGTACGACGAAGCCATGGATCGCCCAAATCAATGAGAGGAAGAGGAATCCCGACCCATCATCGCAGCCTCGTCCGGAAGCGTCCCCGAGCGGGGTGCCATGTCCGCCGGAGCAACCCGCGACGCGACGGCAGCCCAAGGAACCCCGAACTAGGATAATATATACAAATGTATCCATATATATATATATATATCGGAATATATATATATGAATGAGCTACTTTAAAAAAAAATAACACTCTGGGCATCAGGAGACGGCGTTGGCAGAGACTCCCTTTACGCGGTTTATTTAAAGCCTTCGGTCCTCGCTTCTTCCTGTTTATCCCTTCTATATTTTGAATATATTCCCCTCCGAAAAAACAACAACATTCTGCCAGTCGGTTCCGGACACCTTCGGGATTATTTTTCTTTTTTCGCTGGGATTCTGCAATCGTCGGTAACACACTAATCGCAAGCAAATGAGGACAAGATCCTTCTCTTTCCAGTTGCCAGGATCCTCGGAAGAAAAGAACGAGAGAAAGAAAGGAAGAGAAGTCGGAAGGGCAGGCTTTGCAGGGTTGTCGTTCCTCCTTCCCTCTGTCGTTTCCTGGTTCCGATTTTCCAGATCAGGAGAAGATGTTGGTCTTAAAAATATTCATTTCATCTCTCTGTTTGCACCTTCTCTCTTTTCCCGCGGTGTCGCTCGAATCCAGAACCCCGAAATACGGACCTGTGGCCCCGGATTTGGAGTCGGAAGGGGGAAAAAACTCTTATTCTGGAGCACAAGAGGCCGTGTTTGCACCATGCTCTTTTTTTCTCCCGACAGGAAGTGTTGCGGGTCTCGATTTATGTCACTTCCTGTTTGGGGAGAAATGCCTTCCTTGTTGATTTTCAGGGCATTCCTTTCTGGGGAAGGAAATGCCTCTCCTCTTGACCAGGGAACGCCCTTTTCCCCCTAACAGGAAGTGGTGTGGATGTCGACTTACATCACTTCCTGTTTGAGGAAAAATGCCTTCCTCATTGAATTTCAAGTCATTTCTTACAGGGGAAGGAAATGCCTTTTTTCTTGAACAGGGAACGCCCTTTTCCCCCCAACAGGAAGTGGTGTGGATCTCGACTTACGTCACTTCCTATTTGAGGAAAAATGCCTTCCTCATTGACTTTCAAGTCATTTCTTTCAGGGGAAGGAAATGCCTTTCCTCTTGACCAGGAAATGCGATTTCCACCCCAACTGGAAGTGATGCAGGTCTTGACTTCCGTCACTTCCTGTTTGGGGAAAAATGCCTTTCCTCTTGACCAGGGAAAGCTTTTTCCCCACAACAGGAAGTGATCTGGATCTCAACTTATGTCACTTCCTATTTGGTGGAAAACGCCTTCCTCGTTGACTTTCAGGGGAAGGAAATGTCTTTATTCTTAACCAGGAAAAACTTTTCCCCCCCAACAGGAAGTGATGCGCGTCTCGACTTATGTCACTTCCTTTTAGGGGGAAAACGCCTTCCTCATTGACTTTCAGGGGAAGGAAATGCCTTTATTCTTGACCAGGAAAACCTTTTCCCCCCCAACAGGAAGTGATGTGGGTCTTGACTTGTGTCACTTCCTGTTTGGGGAAAAACGCCTTCCTCGTTGACTTTCCAGTCATTTCTTTCTGCGGAAGGAAACACCTCTCCTCTTGAACAGGGAAAGCCTTTTCCCCTCAACAGGAAGTGAGACGGGTCTCGACTTATGTCACTTCCTGTTTTGAATTTCCGGGGAGCAAAACACCTCTCCTGTTGACTTCTGTCCCTTCCTGTGAGACCTCTCCTAGACCTAAGATTGATATTTAGAGGCAAAATAATCAAAAATAAATTCAATTTTCAGCCTACGAACCCACCTCTGATCTAGATTTGGAAGCTTATTTTATTTTTGGCTCAATATTCAGGGTTGTTTGGGTGTCTGTTTGTGTGTTGTGTGTCCTCCGAAACGCAAGTCCTTTTCCCATCTCTGTGCATTGTATTTCTGGAAGCGAGCAAAACAAAGACAAAATTTTTTTTTTAGATATTCAAGTACAGGTTGCGTCTCCTTTGTCCGAAATGTTTTGGATTTTGGAATATCGGTGCGTATATGTATGACATATGTATAGATAGGTATATTATACATATGCATTCTTTTACTTGAAGTCGAGTCCCTCGTAAGGATATTTTCAGAGTCAAGCTTTGCAAGAAGCGGGTGTGAGAGCGAGAAAGAGGTCAAGATTTTGTTTCCATGTTTCTCCTTTTGGCCTTGGGGTTGCTCCAGTCCATTCGGTGCGCCTGGTCTGTGGGTCAAAAAAGCACCTCTCGACCCACAAAGGGGCATCACTCGGTGTCTTAGGTGGTCTTGAATTGTGAGAAGCTCATCTCAGCTCCCGATTTGAAGCCTCGGATCCTCTCTTGGCTCGTTTTCCTAAGCGTTTCATGCCTTTTTCGCCCACAAAGCCTGGTCTGATTGCAAGATCAGGGCAAAGAAGGGCCAACAGGGTACTAAACCTTGGATCTAAAGCATAAACACTTTGCGTAATCCACTCCCTTTGCTTGCTTTTCGGCTCAAGGTGCATTGGCTTTGCTTTTAGTCCTGGCTTTAGTGCTTTTAGGCCTGGCTTTGATTCATTTAGATCCTGTTTTGGTTTTTTTAGACCCTGGAATTTATTATTTTGGGCTGCTCGCCCAACAAGGATTATGGGCCCAGTATAAGCTTTTGAGGCCTGGCTTTGCTTCTTTTCGTCTCAGTATTGGTTCTTTCAGATTTTTTTAGACCCAGAATTCATTCCTTAAGCCACTCACCCAACAAGGGTTATGGGCCCAGTATCGCCTTAGAGACCTGGCTTTGGTTCTTTTCGTCTCGGGATTGCTTCTTTCAGATTTTTTTAAACCCAGAATTCATTCTTTTAGGACACTCGCGCAACAACGGTTATGGGCCCGGTATCGCCTTAGAGGCCTGGCTTTGGCTCTTTTAGACTCAGCATTGGTAATTTCAGGGTTTTTTAGACCCGGAATTCATTCATTTAGGACACTCGCCCAACAAGGGTTATGGGCCCAGTATCGCCTTTAGGCCTCGTTTTGCTTCTTTTCGTCTCGGTACTGGTTCCTTCAGGTTTTTTTGGACCCGGAATTCATTCGTTTAGGCCACTTGCCCAGTAAGGGTTATGGGCCCGGTATCACCTTTAGGTCTGGCTTTGGCTCTTTTAGACTCAGCATTGGTAGTGTCAGGGTTTTTTAGACCCGGAATTCATTCCTTAGTCCACTCACCCAACAAGGATTATGGGCCCAGTATCGCCTTAGAGATCTGGCTTTGGTTCTTTCAGGTTTTTTAAGACCCGGATTTAATTCTTTTAGGCCTGGCTTTGGTTATTTTCGACAATGCTTTGGTTCCTTCCGTTTTTTTAGACCCGGAATTTATTATTTTAGGCCACTCGCCCAACAAGGGTTATGGGCCCAGTATCGCCTTTAAACCTGGCTTTGGCTCTTTTAGACTTGGCATTGGTAGTTTCAGGGGTTTTTTAGACCCAGAATTCATTCGTTTAGGCCACTCACTCAACAAGGGTTATGGGCCCAGTATCACCTTTAGGCCTGGCTGTGGTTCTTTTAGACTCAGCATTGGTAGTTTCAGGTTTATTTTAAACCCAGAATTCATTCTTTGGGCCACTCGCCCAACAAGGGTTATGGGCCCGATATCGCCTTTAGGTCTGGCTTTGGCTCTTTTAGACTCAGCATTGGTTCTTTTCAGATTTTTTTAGACCCAGTATTCATTCTTTTAGGCCTGGCTTTAGTACTTTGAGGCCTGGCTTTGGTTATTTTTGACTCTGCATTCGTTCCTTCAGATTTTTTTAGACCCGGAATTCATTCGTTTAGGCCACTCGCCCAACAAGAGTTATGGGCCCGGTATCGCCTTTAGGCCTGGATTTGCTTCTTTTCGACTCTGCATTGGTTCCTTCAGATTTTTTTAGATCAGGATTTCATTCTTTTACATCTGCCTTTAGTACTTTGAGGCCTGGCTTTGACTCTTTAGACTCAGAATTTTTTTAGGCCACCCGGCCGACAAGGGTTATGGGCCCAGTATCACCTTTAAGGCCTGGCTTTGGTTCTTTTAGATTCAACGTTAGTCCGTTGAGACCTGGCTTTATTTCTTTGAGGCTGAGCTTTGGTTCTTTTAGACCCGGCTTTCGTTTTCTTTGCAAAATCCTCCCCATTTGCACCCTGCTGAAATCAATGGTGTTGGTAAAAGACAAAACTCATCCCTTAAGCTTGATACTTTCGCGAGTCAAATGGCCCCGCTTTGATGAGAAACCCAAGCTTGGCTTCCTTCTGTTTTGTTTTTCTCCTTCCTTGGGTCTGAATGGGCTGGCATTTGTGCGTATGTGTGCATTTTGTGTGCGAGGAAAGGCATAGATCCGAGTTCGAGTCTCCGAACCTCTTCCTTTGCTAAACCCTCCGACCCGATCCTTTCCACCAAGAAGCTTCATTCTGAATTCTCTCTCCCTTCTGCAACGGTTCTCTGACCTTTCCAGCTTCCCCGCCGCCCCAAAATCTATTTTATATTTTAATGAAGAAAAATATAAAACTTTTAAAAAGAGACGGAGAGAGATGCGTGTAGAACAAATAAATTAAAAAGAGAGAAAGAGAGAGATGCTACATGATGTAAATTGTTGAATAAACATTATAAGTTTCCATGTTGCCTCGTGGTCTTTTCCTTGGTAGTTTGTCATGCAAAAAATATGGATTCAACATTTTTTGCATACTTTGCAACCCATAAGGATTTGGGCTTATAACATTCATTATACAGTGTGGGTCCGGCATGGGCAAACTTGGGCCCTCCCTCCAGGGGTTTTGGACTTCAAAACGTTTTGGTCTATACTGGCCCCATAACCCTTGTTGGGAGAGTGGTCTCAAACTGCATTCACTACACAATGTTTGTCCGGCATGGGCAGACTTGTGCCCTTTCTCTAAAGGTTTTGGATTTCAAAATCCCACTGGAGCATTGCAACACACCCACATCCCTAGGAGTTACTCTGGCCTACAAGAAGCACTGCCTGAATATCAAGCAAAAAGTGGGCATAGAAACAATATCATATGAAAGCTGACTGGCACAACCTGGGGATCACAACCAGACACAGTGAAGACATCTGCCCTTGCGCTGTGCTACTCTGCTGCTGAGTGTGCATGCCCAACGTGGAACACATCTCACCACACTAAAACAGTGGATGTGGCTCTTAATGAGACATGCCGCATTATCACAGGGTGTCTGCGCCCTATGCCACTGGAGAAATTACACTGCTAGCCGGTATTGCACCACCTGACATCCGCCGGGAAGTAGCAGCCAATAGTGAAAGGACCAAGGCAGAGACATCTCCAGCTCATCCTCTGTTTGGGTATCAGCCAGCACGTCAATGACTTAAATCAAGAAATAGTTTTCTAAGATCTACAGAGACACTCGCTGGAACACCTCAGCAAGCGAGAGTCCAAAAGTGGCAGGCTCAAACCCAGAACTGATACCAAATGAGAGGGCGACAGAAGACTGGGCGACTTGGAAGGCGCTGAACAGACTGCGCTCTGGCACCGCGAGATGCAGAGCCAACCTCAGAAATGGGGCCACAAAGTGGAATCCTCGACATGCGAGTGTGGAGAAGAGCAAACCACTGACCACCTGCTGCAATGCACCCTGAGCCCTGCCACATGCACAATGGAGGACCTCCTTGCGGCAACACCAGAGGCACTCCAAGGGGCCAGATACTGGTCAAAGGACATTTAATCAACTACCAAGTTTGCAAAATTTGTGTGTTTTTTTTAATCTGTTTGTTTGTTTTGCTCTGTTAGAAATGTAACACAATGGTCTGGTTGCTGATGACACGATCAATAAAATAAATATATTACTTCACCCCCAACCATAACATTATTTTCGTTGCTACTTCATAACTTTTATTTTGTGAAAGGTCATATGTAAATATCAGATATGCAAGATGTATTTTCATGCACTGGACCAAACTGGGCACAAATACCCAATGCAACCACATGTAAATGCTAGTGGGGTTCGGGGAGGATTGATTTTGTAATTTGGGAGTTGTAGTTGCTGGGATTTATAGTTCACCTATCAAAGAGCATTCTGAACTCCACCAATGATGTAATTGAACAATCTTGGCACACAGAACTCCCATGTCCAAGAGAAAACACTGGAAGGGTTTGGTGGGCATTGACCTTGAGTTTTGGAGTTGTAGTTCATATATCCAGAGAGCACTGTGGACTCAAACAATGGTGGATCTGGACCAAACTTGGCACAAATACTCAATATGCGCAAATGTGAACACTGGTGGAGCTTGGGGAAAATAGACCTTGACTTTTGGGAGTTGTAGTTGCTGGGATTTATAGTTCATTACAATCAAAGAACATTCTGAACTCCACCAACGATAGAATTGGCTCAAACTTTCCACATGGAATCCCCATGACCATCAGAAAATACTGTGTTTTCTGATGGTCTTTGGCGACCCCTCTGACACCCCTTCGTGACCCCCTCAGGGGTCCCGACCCCCAGGTTGAGAAACACTGCTCTAAAGGTTTTGGATTTCAAAACCTTTTGGACTATATCGGGCTCATAACGCTTGTTTGGCAACACTGGGACCCCTGATCCTTGTTGGGCAAGTGGTCTCAAACTGCATTTATGATACAATGTGGCTCCGGCATGGACAAACTTTGGCCCTTTCTCCAGGGGTTTTTGACTTCAACTCCCGCAATTCCTGACTGCCTTGGACCCTTTCCCCCCCCCCCCCCAAGTTTGCCCATGCCTTGAATGGCTTGTCACTCGTGCCAAGACGTGCCCACTCCCCAATAATGATGCAGACATGCGGTGGATTCCTGACATGCGGTTTCTTCCAAGGTGTTTATTCATATCTGTGGCAGCCAAACGGGCCCTGGGAGGAGGAGAGGAGGAGGAGGAGGAGGCCCCTCAGCCCCATAGAGGAGGGCCGGGGGGGGGGGTCCTTGGGCATCGGTGGAGAGTGGCCCCAGGGACCGAAGAGAGGCGAGCAGGAAGGCCTTACTGCTGCACCCGCCGGATGGACTGGATCTGGGCGGTCTGAGCATGGGAGCCCCATTCCCGCCAGTGCTTGTAGTCCCCGCCGTGGTGGTCAAACTCCAGGATGTACTGGTAGCCGCGGTAGCCAGGGTACTGGTATAATAACAGAATCATAGAATCAAAGAGTTGGAAGAGACCTCCTGGGCCATCCAGTCCAACCCCATTCTGCCAAGAAGCAGGAATATTGCATTCAAATCACCCCTGACAGATGGCCATCCAGCCTCTGTTTAAAAGCTTCCAAAGAAGGAGCCTCCACCACACTCCAGGGGCAGAGAGTTCCACTGCTGAACAGCTCTCCTCACAGTCAGAATCATAGAATCCTAGAGTTGGAAGAGACCTCCTGGGCCATCATCCAGTCCAACCCCATTCTGCCAAGAAGCAGGAATATTGCATTCAAATCACCCCTGACATATGGCCATCCAGCCTCTGTTTAAAAGCTTCCAAAGAAGGAGCCTCCACCACACTCCGGGGCAGAGAGTTCCACTGCTGAACGGCTCTCACAGTCAGGAAGTTCTTCCTCATGTTCAGATGGAATCTCCTTCTTGTAGTTTGAAGCCATTGTTCCATTGCGTCCTAGTCTCCAGGGAAGCAGAAAACAAGCTTGCTCCCTCCTCCCTATGACTTCTTCTCACCTACTTATACATGGCTATCATATCTCCTCTCATCCTTCTCTTCTTCAGGCTAAACATGCCCAGCTCCTTAAGCCGCTCCTCATAGGGCTTGTTCTCCAGACCCTTGATCTGCTCCCTCCTCCCTGTGATTTCCTCTCACATATTTATACATGGCTATCATATCCCCTCTCAGCCTTCTCTTCTTCAGGCTAAACATGCCCAGCTCCTTAAGCCGCTCCTCATAGGGCTTGTATCATTTAAATAAAAATAACATTCCTTGCTCCTCTCACATATTTATACATGGCTATCATATCCCTCTCAGCCTTCTCTTCTTCAGGCTAAACATGCCCAGCTCCTTAAGCCGCTCCTCATAGGGCTTGTTCTCCAACAGAAGGGACCGGTTTGAGAAGTTTCTGACCACCTTGGCACCAGGCACCTCCCAGAAACCATCACTCTGTTGACAAAGGATGCCAAGAGTGACAGCACTCAGCTTGATTGACATCCCTGAGCCCTGCAAGGTGCCCTCTTTCATCCCTGGTTGAGTTGATCGCCCACTTCCAACACATTAGAGTTGGGAGAGACCTGGTGGGACATCCAGTCCAACCCCATTCTGCCAATAAGCAGGAAAACCACAATCAAAGCACCCCCGACAGATGGCCATACGAAACCCTCACTCTGTTGACAAAGGATGTCAAGAGTGACAGTGCTCGGCTTGATTGACATCCCGGAGCCCTGCAAGGTGCCCCGTTTCATCCCTGGTTGAGTTGATAGCCCATTCCCAACACATTAGAGTTGGGAGAGACCTGGTGGGACATCCAGTCCAACCCCATTCTGCCAAGAACCAGGAAAACCACATTCAGAGCACCCCCGACAGATGGCCATCCAGCCTCTGTTGTTGTATCCGGGCACTGAATGCTTGCCTTTTATGTTTGGAATCCGCCCTGAGTCCCTTCGGGGAGAAAGAGTGGAATATAAGTAATAATAATAATAGAGTCGGAAGCAACTGAACGAATAAACAACAAATTATTATTATTATTATTATTATTATTATTATTATTATACCCCAGGCAGGAAGGAGCCAGGCTTTGAAGCTGCAGGGCCATTCAATGCTAATCAAGCTGGGCAGTAGCAACACTCACACTTGCTTCAAGCAGACAAGAGTTCTTTCTCCCACCCTTGACCTTCAACTAACAAATAAACAACAAATTATTATAATTATTATCCCCCAGGCAGGAAGCAGCCAGGCTTTAAAACTGCAGGGACATTGAATGCTAATCTAGCTGGATAGTGGCAACATTCACACTTGCCTCAAGCAGACAATTTTTTTCTCCCACCCTTGACCTTCAACTAACGAATAAACAACAAATTATTATTATTATTATTATTATTATTATTATTATTATTATTATTATTATCCTCCAGGCAGGAAGCAGCCAGACTTTGAAACTGCAGGGCCATTCAATGCTAATCAAGCTGGACAGAGGCAACATTCACACTTACCTCAAGCAGACAATTTTTTTCTCCCACCCTTGATCTTCAACTAACAAATAAACAACCTATTATTATTATTATTATTATTATTATTATTATTATTATCCCCCAGGCAGGAAGCAGCCAGGCTTTGAAGCTTCAGGGACATTCAGTGCTAATCAAGCTGGACTGGCAACATCCACTGGGAATTCTTTCTCCCACCCTGGACCTTCAACAGATACATAAACTCAATTTTCCTATTTTCCAACAGACCTCACAACCTCTGAGGATGCCTGCCAGAGATGTGGGTGAAACGTCAGGAGAGAATGCTTCTGGAATATGGCTGGACAGACCGGAAAACTCACAGCGACCCGGTGATTCCGGCCATGAAATCCTTTGACAACACAGTGGTTTGTGTCAATACAGTACTATTGATTATGCTGCTCAGGACATAGAAAGGGATCCTGTTTTATTCCTGGATGTGATAGGCCATTGGTCAGTGGACACGGACTGACCAATGGCCGTCCCTTGATGTTCTTAGAGGAGACAGCAGAGGGCACTCTTGGCTTTGCATTACTCTGCAGATAAACAAGAGAGGTGTGTAGTACGGATCCCGGCTTTCTGGAGGGACCACTCTTGCTATCATGCCACTGAGGGTAGGCTAACTAGGACTAGTGAGAACTGGAGTCCAACAGTATCGGTCAATGTTACCTCTTCCTTTGGAGGCTTTTCTCTGTAGTAAAGTAATATGGTTGCACTATTTACAACAACAAGGGTTCCATAACACAAATAAACAAATACACAGTCGTTTTACAGAGAGAAGCCTTCACACTGGATCTTTCGCACATGAGGCTTTTCTCACACAGAGGTATGTCTCACAATCCGCAGGACGACACTAGCTTTGGAATACTAACTCTAACAAGTTGCACTATTTACAACAACAAGATTTCCACAACACAAATAAACAAATACACAGTAGCTTTACACACAGCAGCCTTCACACTGGAGATTTCCCACACCAAGGCTTCTCTCACACTGAGGTTTACCTCACAATCTGCAGGACGACACTATCTTTGGTCCAGTAGGCTTCGACCTACTAACTTTTTTCAGTGCTTGACTTATACTTTTGTGAGTCAGCAGCAGTGTGACCCAGCACCAGTGGTCCAAAGTGATAGAAAGAATAAGGATTCCATAACACAAATAAACAAATACACAGTAGCTTTACACACAGCAGCCTTCACACTGGAGCTTTCTCACATGAGGCTTCTCTCACACAGAGGTTTGCCTCACTCTCCTCGGGACGACACTCGCTTTGGCCCACTAACTCTAACAGGCAGCAGCCTTCACAGTGGATCTTTCTCACATGAGGCTTCTCTCACACAGAGGTTTACCTCACTCTCCTCAGAACGACACTCGCTTTGGCCCACTGACTAACAGGCAGCAGCCTTCACAGTGGATCTTTCTCACGAGGCTTCTCTCACACAGAGGTTTACCTCACTCTCCACAGGACGACACTCGCTTTGGTCCACTAACAGGCAGCAGCCTTCACACTAGAGCTTTCTCACATGAAGCTTCTCTCACACAGAGGTTTACCTCACTCCTCAGGATGACATTCACTTTGGCTCACTAACTCTAACAGGCAGCAGCCTTCACACTAGAGCTTTCTCACACGAAGCTTCTCTTACACAGAGGTTCACCTCACAATCCACAGGACGACACTCGCTTTGGCCCACTGACTCTAACAGGCAGCAGCCTTCACACTAGAGCTTTCCCACATTAGGTTTCTCTCACACAGAGGTTTACCTCACAACCCCCAGAACGACACTCGCTTTGGCCCACTGACTAACAGGCAGCAGCCTTCACACTAGAGCTTTCCCACATGAGGCTTCTCTCACACGGAGGTTTACCTTACTCTCCTCGGGACGACATTCGCTTTGACCCACTAACTCTAACAGGCAGCAGCGTTCAGGCTTCTCTCACACAGAGGTTTACCTCACTGTCCTCAGGACGACACTCGCTTTGGGCCACTAACTCTAACAGGCTTCGGCCTACTCACTGTCCTCAGGACGACACTCTGGAGTTGAATTCCGAAACAACTGGAGAGCCGAAGTTTGTCCATGCTTGTTCCCCCCCCCCCCCCATTTCTCCATTTTGGCCACCCCACTACTTACGCGCCACTGTGGACCTTCATGGAGCCCACTTCGTTGCTGCCCCACCCCATGGCTTGCAGCGAAGGGTAGTCGTCTTGGAGGTCCCATTGGTGCCCCATGAAGTTCTCCTTCTCAAAGAGGGTGATCTTGGACTCTTTGTGGTTCTGCGGGTTCGGGAGGAAAGGACACCCCGATGAGACTATGGCCCTGTGGCCGAATACCTCGGGGCAAAGGTGACCACAGTGCTTTGGACTCACCGCGGAGTTGATGGGGCGGAAGGACATCAGCCGCTCGACGTGGTAAGCGTTGCTCCCGCTCCAGGCTTCCCACCGGGGGTACTCTCCGCGCTCCAGCACAAACTGCTGCCCACAGTAGTTGGTGTGTTCGTAGCCAAACCACCTGAAGGCAAAGAGGAGGTAGGCAGGGATCATGAATTGGAAGAACATATAATAGATTAGCATTTAAGGGCCTAGCATTTTCAAGGGGTGGCTTCTTACTGCCTGGGGGAATCTTTTGCTGAGAGGTGATTAGCGGTCCCTGATTTCCCCATCTGTAACTGGTGGCGCAGCAGGTTAAACCGCTGAGCTGCTCTACTTCCTGACCGAAAGGTTCGGCGGTTCGAATCCAGGGAGTGGGGTGAGCTCCCACTGTCAGCCCCAGCTCCTGCCGACCTAGCAATTTGCAAACATGCAAGTGCAAGTAGATCGATAGGTACCTCTTCTGCAGGAAGGTAACGATGCTCTATGCAGTGTTAAACCGCTGAGCTGCTGTAGTTGCTGACTGAAAGGTTGGAGGTTCGAATCCAGGGAGTGGGGTGAGCTCCTGCTGTTAGCCCCAGCTCCTGCCGACCTAGCAATTTGCAAACATGCAAGTGTTAGTAGATCAATAGGTACCTCTTCTGCAGGAAGGTAATGATGCTCTATGCAGTGTTAAACCACTGAGCTGCTGTACTTGCTGACCGAAAGGTTGGCGGTTCGAATCCAGGGAGTGGGGTGAGCTCCCGCTGTCAGCCCCAGCTCCTGCCGACCTAGCAATTTGCAAACATGCAAGTGCGAGTAGATCAATAGGTACCTCTTCTGCAGGAAGGTAATGATGCTCCATGCAGTGTTAAACCGCTGAGCTGCTGTACTTGCTGACTGAAAGGTTTGGCGGTTCGAATCCAGGGAGTTAGGTGAGCTTCCGCTGTCAGCCCCAGCTCCTGCCGACTTAGCAATTTGCAAACATGCAAATGCAAGTAGATCGATAGGTACCTCTTCTGCAGGAAGGTAATGATGCTCCATGCAGTGTTAAACCGCTGAGCTGCTGTACTTGCTGACCGAAAGATTCGGCGGTTCGGATCCAGGGAGTGGGGTGAGCTCCCACTTTCAGCCCCAGCTCCTGCTTACCTAGCAATTTGCAAACATGCAAGTGCGAGTAGATCAATAGGTACCTCTTCTGCAGGAAGGTAATGATGCTCCATGCAGTGTTAAACCGCTGAGCTGCTGTACTTGCTGACCAAAAGGTTCGGCGGTTCGAATCCAGGGAGTGGGGTGAGCTCCCGCTGTCAGCCCCAGCTCCTGCCGACCTAGCGATTTGCAAACATGCAAGTGCGAGTAGATCAATAGGTACCTCTTCTGCAGGAAGGTAATGATGCTCCATGCAGTGTTAAACTGCTGAGCTGCTGTAGTTGCTGACTGAAAGGTTGGAGGTTCGAATCCAGGGAGTGGGGTGAGCTCCCGCTGTTAGCCCCAGCTCCTGCCGACCTAGCAATTTGCAAACATGCAAGTGTTAGTAGATCAATAGGTACCTCTTCTGCAGGAAGGTAATGATGCTCCATGCAGTGTTAAACCGCTGAGCTGCTGTACTTGCTGACCGAAAGGTTCGGCGGTTCAAATCCAGGGAGTGGGGTGAGCTCCCGCTGTCAGCCCCAGCTCCTGCCGACCTAGCAATTTGCAAACATGCAAGTGCGAGTAGATCAATAGGTACCTCTTCTGCAGGAAGGTAATGATGCTCCATGCAGTGTTAAACCGCTGAGCTGCTGTACTTGCTGACTGAAAGGTTTGGCGGTTCGAATCCAGGGAGTTAGGTGAGCTTCCGCTGTCAGCCCCAGCTCCTGCCGACTTAGCAATTTGCAAACATGCAAATGCAAGTAGATCGATAGGTACCTCTTCTGCAGGAAGGTAATGATGCTCCATGCAGTGTTAAACCGCTGAGCTGCTGTACTTGCTGACCGAAAGATTCGGCGGTTCGGATCCAGGGAGTGGGGTGAGCTCCCACTTTCAGCCCCAGCTCCTGCTTACCTAGCAATTTGCAAACATGCAAGTGCGAGTAGATCAATAGGTACCTCTTCTGCAGGAAGGTAATGATGCTCCATGCAGTGTTAAACCGCTGAGCTGCTGTACTTGCTGACCAAAAGGTTCGGCGGTTCGAATCCAGGGAGTGGGGTGAGCTCCCGCTGTCAGCCCCAGCTCCTGCCGACCTAGCGATTTGCAAACATGCAAGTGCGAGTAGATCAATAGGTACCTCTTCTGTAGGAAGGTAATGATGCTCCATGCAGTGTTAAACCGCTGAGCCGCTGTACTTGCTGACTGAAAGGTTGGCGGTTCAGATCCAGGGAGTGGGATGAGCTCCTGCTTGTTAGCCCCAGCTCCTGCCGACCTAGCAATTTGCAAACATGTAAGTGCAAGTAGATCAATAGGTACCTCTTCTGCAGGAAGGTAATGATGCTCCATGCAGTGTTAAACCACTGAGCTGCTGTACTTGCTGACCGAAAGGTTGGCGGTTCGATCCAGGGAGTGGGGCGAGCTCCCGCTGTCAGCCCCAGCTCCTGCCAACCTAGCAATTTGCAAACATGCAAGTGTGAGTAGATCAATAGGTACCTCTTCTGCAGGAAGGTAATAATGCTCCATGCAGTGTTAAACCGCTGAGCTGCTGTACTTGCTGACCGAAAGGTTCGGCGGTTCATCCAGGGAGTGGGGTGAGCTCCCACTTTCAGCCCCAGCTCCTGCTTACCTAGCAATTTGCAAACATGCAAGTGCGAGTAGATCAATAGGTACCTCTTCTGCAGGAAGGTAATGATGCTCCATGCAGTGTTAAACCGCTGAGCTGCTGTACTTGCTGACCGAAAGGTTCGGCGGTTCGAATCCAGGGAGTGGGGTGAGCTCCCGCTGTCAGCCCCAGCTCCTGCCGACCTAGCGATTTGCAAACATGCAAGTGCGAGTAGATCAATAGGTACCTCTTCTGCAGGAAGGTAATGATGCTCCATGCAGACATGCTGGCCATGTGACCTTGGAGGTGTCTACGGACAACGCCGGCTCTTTGGCTTAGAGATGGACACAACTAGACTTGATGTCAGGGGAAACCTTCACCTTTCCATAACTGCTCTGTATTCATGATTGCTTCTTGATGTAGTTAACTAACTGAATATTCAACACTGTTTTGGCTTCTGTCCAGAGATAATTTTCAATGGTAAGCAAGCAGTATTTTGGCGTGTGTCCCCGCCCCCCCGCCCGCCCCAACCAATCACTGATATATATTTTCTGTAGTTTTCGTGGAGTTCATAGGTGAACTATACATCCCAGTAACTACAACTTGCGTATATCAAGGTCTATTTTCCCCCAAGAGCGCCTCAAAAGCACCCCTGCGCAAAAACAAGTGTACCGCGGCTGCTTACTTTGCGTAAGGGTTGAGCCGCCCCTGCTTCTGTCTAAAGCATTAGAAGTGAATCGATGCTTAGTCAATAATCATGATAGGATGCCCTTTCGGGGACCCTTTTGTGATGCAAAATTATACTATTATTTGGGGTGTTTCTGCGTTTCTTTTCCTCCTGCGGGTCCTCTTTCTCAGCTCTTGGGTGGGTTCCCCCAACCCCTTGGAGACTTGGCTCCTCCACCCTGATGTTGGAAGGCTTTGGGGAGGCCCTTGCTACTCACGCGCCAGTCTCCACTTTGAGCGAGCGGATGTTGTCGAAGCTGCACTCCATGATGCTGGGGCAGGAGGCCGCAAACTCCATCCTCTTGCCCTGGAAGTTCTCTTGGTCGTAGATGGTGATCTGGAAGGGAGACAGACAGAGAAAGAACCTCAAGGGGTTGCAATAGGAGCCCAGGCAGAAAAGCAAAAAAGAAGGGCACTCTCTGAGCCTCTTCCAAATTTAGTTCCACCTTGAACAACTAGCTTGAATTGTGGGTCGCAGAAAAGCTCTCTGAACCTGTTCCAAGTTTAGTTCCATCTTGAACAACTAGCTTGAATTGTGCTGCGGGTCACCACAAATCACCTCCAAGCTTGTTTATTTATTTACAGTACTAGCTGTCCCCTGCCATACGTTGCTGAGGCCCGGTCTGTGTAGATGTATTTTGTGTGTGTATATGTAGGAAGAACTTCCTGACTGTGATAGCTGTTCATCAGTGGAACTCTCTGCCCCGGACTGTGGTGGAAGCTCCTTCTTTGGAGGCTTTTAAACAGAGGCTGAATGGCCATCTGTCGGGGGTGCTTTGAATGCAATATTCCTGCTTCTTGGCAGAATGGGGTTGGACTGGATGATGGCCCAGGAGGTCTCTTCCAACTCTTTGATTCTATGATTCTATATGTGTGTATGCATATATGTGTGTGTGTGTGTGTACAGAGGCTGAATGGCCATCTGTCGGGGGTGCTTTGAATGCAATATTCCTGCTTCTTGGCAGAATGGGGTTGGACTGGATGATGGCCCAGGAGGTCTCTTCCAACTCTTTGATTCTATGATTCTATATGTGTGTATGCATATATGTGTGTGTGTGTGTGTGTGTACAGAGGCTGAATGGCCATCTGTCGGGGGTGCTTTGAATGCAATATTCCTGCTTCTTGGCAGAATGGGGTTGGACTGGATGATGGCCCAGGAGGTCTCTTCCAACTCTTTGATTCTTTGATTCTATATGTGTGTATGCATATATGTGTGTGTGTGTGTGTACAGAGGCTGAATGGCCATCTGTCGGGGGTGATTTGAATGCAATATTCCTGCTTCTTGGCAGAATGGGGTTGGACTGGATGGCCCAGGAGGTCTCTTCCAACTCTTTGATTCTATGATTCTATGATTTTCTTTGGAGCTTTTAAACAGAGGCTGGATGGCCATCTGTCAGGGGTGATTTGAATGCAATATTCTTGCTTCTTGGCAGAATGGGGTTGGACTGGATGGCCCAGGAGGTCTCTTCCAACTCTTGTGTTTGCATGATATATAGGTGTATAGATGTGTATGTGTATATATATTTGTGGATTTCTATGTTTATATGTGTATATGCATATTGTGTATATGTGTGTGCCAGTGTATATGCATATATATGAATGTATTTGTATATATATGTGTGTGTGTGCATGCATGTGTTCATGTATATATGTGTGCATGTTTATGTATGTGTGTATATGGGTATATTTGTGTGTGTTTGTGCATATATATACGTGTGTGTGTATGTACATATATGTATATGAGTGTATGTGTATATGTATATATGGTGTATTTTGGGGTTTTTTAAGTCTGTTCTGATGGGGTTTTGTGTGTGTGCGTATATGTATATGTGTGTACAGGTGTATATGTGTACATATGTATATGCATATTTGTGTGTATATATGTATGTATGTGGATATATATATATGAGTGTACATATGTATATGTATGTGTGGATGTGTTTATGTATATATGTGTGTATATATATATGTATGTGTGTATATGTGTATATTTGTGTGTGTTTGCATATATATACGTTTGTGTGCATTTACATATGAGTGTATGTGTATATGTATATATGGTGTATTTTTTGGATTTTTAAATGTGTTCAGCTGGAGTTTTGTGTGTGTGCATATATGTATATGTGTGTACATGTGTATATGTATGTGTGCATGAATGTGTGCATGTGTATATGTATATATGTGTGTATGTATATGTATGTGTGTATATGTGTATATGTGTGTGCATGTACATATGAGTGTATGTGTATATGTATATATGGTGTATTTTGGGGGTTTTTAAGTCTGTTCTGCTGGAGTTTTGTGTGTGTGTGTGTATATATGTATATGTGTGTACATGTGTATATGTATGTGTGCATGTGTATATGTATATATGTGTGTATGTATGTGTATGTGTGTATATGTGTATATTTGTGTTTGTGCTTATATATATGTGTGTGTATGAATGTGTACATTTGTATATGTATATTAGTCTATGTGTATATGTATATATGGTGTATTTTGGGGGGTTTTAAGTCTGTTCCGCTGGGGTTTTGTGTATGTGTGTGTGTGTGCTTACAGATGATGGTCACTCGTTGGCCTGAGAGGTGCCTTGTGTCCAAATTTGGTGTCAATTCGTCCAGTGGTATTTGAGTTATGTTCATCCCAGAAACGAACATGACATTTTTATTTATATAGATTGATATTCTGTTGGCCTTGATCAGAATGAGAAGGTGACAGGAGAGAGAAAGTGTATCCATAAGACCTCGTATTGCCTTCTCCTGATCTAGAATCCTAGAGCTGGACGAGACCCCCAAGGGCCATCCAGTCCAACCCCGTGCCATGCAGGAAAGTACAATCAAAGCACTCCCGACAGACAGCTTCTGCGGATTCCACCACACTCCCAGGCAGCCTGGGCCTCTCTCCAGGAAGTTCTTCCTCATCTTTTCAGTCGAATCTCTTTCCCTGCCATTTGAAACCATGGCTCCCTTCTCGTGCCCCAGTCTCTGAACCAGCAGGAAGCCAGTTTTCCTCCTTCTCCTCCTCTTTTTACATCTTGAAACATGGTTCTCATGTTCCCTCTCTACCTTCTCCCAGGTAAACATCCCCCAGGAGGAAGGAAAAAGAGAAGGGAGGGAGGRAGAGAAGGATGGAAGGAAGGGTGGAAGGGAATGGAGGGAGGGAGGGAAGAGAGAAGGAAGGGAAAACAAAAGGGAAGGAAGGGAAGAAGGGAGGGAAGAGGGAGAAAGGGAAGGAAGGAAGGGAAGACAAAAGGGAAGGAAGGACAAAAGGGTGGAAGACAAAAAGGAAGGTAGGAAGGAAAGAAGGGAGGAAGGAGAGAGAGAGGGAAGGAGGGAGAAAAGAGGGAAGGAAGGGAGAACAAAAGGGAAGGAAGGAAAGGAGGGAGGGAGGGAAGGAAGGGAAGACAAAAGGGAAGGAAGGAAGGACAAAAGGGTGGAAGACAAAAAGGAAGGTAGGAAAGAAAGAAGGAAGGAAAAGGAGAGAGAGGGGGAAGGAGGGAGAAAAGAGGGAAGGAAGGGAGAACAAAAGGGAAGGAAGGAAAGGAGGGAGGGAGGGAAGGAAGGGAAGACAAAGGGGAAGGAAGGACGAAAGGGTGGAAGGGAATGGAGGGAGGGAGGAGAGAAGGAAGGGAAGACAAAAAGGAAGGAAGGAAAAGGAGGGAGAGAGGGAAGGAGGGAGAAAAGAGGGAAGGAAAGACAAAAGGGTGGAAGGGAAGGAGGAAGGAAAGAGAGAAGGAAGGGAGGGTGGAAGGGAATGGAAGGAGGGAGGAAAGGAGGAAAGAGAAGAAACGGAAGACAAAAGGGAARGAAGGAAGGAGAAGGATGGAGAGGGAAGGAGGGAGAGAGAGAGGGAAGGAAGGGAAGACAAAAGGGAAGGAAGGAGAAGGAGAGAGGGAAAGAGGGAAAGAAGGAAGGGAAGGATGGAAGGAGAAAGGAAAGAGGGAAGGAAGGATATGATGTTGAGAGAGAGGAGGGCCTGAGAAAAGAGCCCAAGGGGCCGCATTCGTCCCCTGGACCTGTGTTACACACCGACAGGGCAGACCCAATACATAGATAGAGGTATATATAGGCTTTCCCATCTTCGGCATCTTGGAGGCTGTGTTCGATTCTGGCCACAAGGTGGTGCTGTTGCTCCATCCTCCATACCAAAGATTTCCTCTTTTTGATTGAATCGCCGCATTTTTATATATATTTCCTTCTGATGCCATTAAAACACCTCCCTGAGTTAAGCGGTTTGTATTTATCTACTCAGAGCTGTTTTCGATCTAGTAGGTGGGCAGTGAGCTGGGTTGAAGGTCGGGTGCTCACTCCTGACCCGGGCTTCGAACTGCCAATCTTTCGATTGGCCAGATTTATTGCAGTTGGTAGTTGACCTGCTGTGCTAAAGTCTGGCCCATGTTGACTTTGGTATAAGAAGATCCCAGATACTCCAGCGAGGAAAGCCGGAATACAACCATAGGGTTGCTGTGAGTTTTCTGGAACATGGCCATACAGCCCAGAAAACTCACAGCAACCCAGTCATTCTGGCCATGACAACACAATTCCCTTTAGTGTACCCCAAAATGGGATTGTTTTCATCTGGACGTACCTTCCAGGGACCAAACTGTGCCTGTTGTGGGTTGGTTTGAGCCATCTTGGCAACAGAGGTGAAATCTAAGCAAGAGAAAGAGGGAGAAATGACATTGTTTGGACTGGCATTGACGTTGGAACTGTGGATCAGAGTCGATGAAGCAACTGGCAAAACCACCTCTGAGTCTGCTAAAAGCACCCTACGAAATTAACGGGATCACCCAAGTTGATTCCTCAACAACTCGGTCTTTAGAGCCGCTCCATGCCAATCTAATCACCACGGGATCCTGGGGTTTTGTAGTTTGATGGTTTGAAGGACAGAGTGGAAGGAAGAGAGAGAAACCGGGACGTTGTAAATAGAAAAATGGGACTGCAGAGGAGTAACCAGAGTTGTAAAAAAAATACGATTTTGGCCTCCGTTTCTATGGGTTACAAAGAGACTGTGCAAAAGAGATAGTGACATACTTCGTATGCAAAGTCAACCCCATATAAAACCATGCACAGTAGAGTCTCACTTATCCAACCTTCACTGCTAGGCTGGCAGAAGCTGGGGCTAACAGCGGGAGCTCACCCAGCTCCGCAAATTTGAACCGCCAACCATTCGGTCAGGAAGTTCAACAGCTCAGTGGTTTAACATGGTGTCAGGGGGCCTGTATTTACCCATCATGTGATACAGTAGAGTCTTACTTATCCAACCTTTGCTTATCCGACATTCAGTTTTATCTGATGCTCTTATCCGACACCCCCCTTTTCCTCCAGCATTTTCCCTTCAATTAAAGGAGTGCTCCCCAACTCTCTCCATTCCCAGTAGTTTATTTATCCGACGTTTGCTTATCCGACGTTCCGTCTTATCCAATACTCTTATGCGACACCCCGCTTTTCCTCCAGCATTTCCTCTTCAATTAAACTAACGCTACCCAACTCTCTCTCCATTCCCAGTAGAGTCTCGCTTATCAGACTTTCGCTTATCCAACATTCCTTCTTATCTGACGCTCTTATGCGACACCCCCCTTTTCCTCCAGCATTTCCTCTTCAATTAAACTAACGCTACCCAACTCTTTATCCATTCCCAGTAGAGGCTCGCTTATCCGACCTTTGCTTATCCGACATTCCTTCTTATCCGACGCTCTTATCCGAGTTCCCCCTATTCCTCTGGCATTTCCCCTTCAATTAAAGGAACTCTCCCCAACTCTTTCTCCATACCCAGTAGAATTTCACTTATCCGACCTTCGCTTATCTGACATTCCTTCTTATCTGACGTTCTTATCTGAGGCCCCCCTTTCCTCCGGCATTTTCCCTTCAATTAAGCGCCCCCCAACTCTCTCCCCATTTCCAGTAGAGTCTCGCTTATCCAACCTTCACTTCTCCGATGTTCCATCTTATCTGATACTTTTATCTGACACCCCACTTTTCCTCCAGCATTTCCTCTTCAATTAAAGGAGCGCTCCCCAACTCTCTCCCCATTTCCAGTAGAGTCTCACTTATCCAACCTTCACTTCTCTGACGTTCCGTCTTATCTGATACTCTTATCCGACACCCCTCTTTTCCCCCAGCATTTCCTCTTCAACGCTCCCCAACTCTTTCTCCGTACCCAGTAGAGTCTCACTTATCTAACCTTTGCTTATCCAACATTCCGTCTTATCCAATACTCTTATCCAAGCCCCCCCTTTTCCTCCGGCATTTTCCCTTCAATTAAGAGCCCCCCAACTCTCTCCCCATTTCCAGCAGAGTCTCGCTTATCCGACCTTCGCTTATCCAACATTCCTTCTTATCTGACGCTCTTATCCGAGGCCCCCCTTTTCCTCCGGCATTTGGCCTTCAATTAAGCGCCCCCAACTCTTTCCTCATTTCCAGTAGAGTCTCATTTATCCGATCTTCTATCTTATCCGACCTTCCATCTTATCCGACATTCCGTCTTATCCAATACTCTTATCCAAGGCCCCCCTTTTCCTCCGGCATTTCCCCTTCAATTAAGCGCCCCCAACTCTCTCCCCATTTTCAGTAGAATCTTGCTTATCTGACCTTCACTTATCCAACATTCCTTCTTATCCAACGCTCTTATCTGAAGCTCCGCTATTTTCCCTTCAGTTAAGCGCCCCCCAACTCTCTCCCCATTTCCAGTAGTCTCGTTTATCTGACCTTCCATCTTATCCAACCTTTTAAGTGAAAAAGGAAAGACAAGGAGTAGGAAGAGGAAGGAAGAAAAGGGGAAAAGAGGCAGGACTGGAACCGGAAGTGTCCTCCCTCCTTCCCTCTGTGATTTCCCCTCTCCTCTTCCGCATCCGAGCACTTCCCTCTAGTCCCGGGGCAATGCCTTGCTTTAACTCTTTGAGTCCCTGTTGTCAGTATTCTCGGTTTCTAGCGCCATGTCGGATGGGTAATAGTAGGAGACTCACTATTATCCGACATTTTTGTTTGTCCGACATTCTGCCGGTCCGTTAATGTCGGATATGGGAGACTCACTATTATCCGACATTTTTGTTTATCTGACATTCTGCCGGTCCATTAATGTCGGATATGGGAGACTCACTATTATCCGACATTTTTGTTTATCTGACATTCTGCCGGTCCGTTAATGTCGGATATGGGAGACTCACTATTATCCGACATTTTTGTTTATCTGACATTCTGCCGGTCCGTTCATGTTGGATACCTGAGACTCTACTGTATTCTATTATGTGACAACTCCTGTTCAAACATTTCGAGTCCCGTCTCTATTGACGCTGCCGTTTCTTTGTTCCCGACTGTTTGACTGCAGCAAACGGGCGATTTGTCTTTCCCAAAGTATTTAGTCATTGACTTAAATGGATCCCATTCCCCACCCACCGGGCTCAAAATACAATAAAGCTGGAATGATACCCATAAACAAAACAAAAAATACTCAAGCGCAGCCTCCAATATCGTTAAGGAAAAAACGAGCAGAGAATTATTATTTTTTTATATATATATATTACAGGTAATAAAATCAGAGAGACGTAATAAACCAACCTTAAGCACTGCTAAAAACAGGAAGGAATGGGGGAGTCTTCGCTGCTAGTTGAAAACCTCTCAAGGCAAACAGATGTGTGAGTCTGCTTTGAAATAGGAAACAAAAAAGATGGAAATAAATCGAGTTACGCCTTTGAGACTCAAGCGTCGTTGGATCCGATGGAAGGGAGTGAAATCCTTCCAAAGGGATCCTAGAGACGTCTTTGCAACGAGACTGGGTTCCGACTAACATGGCGATCGATGGATTTAGATATTTTGTGGGCATTGAAAGACCTTGGAGTGTCGCCATTCCTGCCCCAAAACAAGTCACCTTTTTGGGTCCCCAAATACCTCACTTTCACTATATTTGGGGTCATCCCTATGGGGCACGGAGAGGCGAACGCCCCAAAGGCCTGTGCCCACTGACCGGTGGATGATGCGCTCGAGACTCATCCGAAGAGGGGTCAGAGGAGAGGTCCCTACTCGCCGGGCCCGGCTCTCACCTCGCTCGCTGTGTGCCGACAGTTCCTCCATGGGCCGCGTGCCTTCGGACCGGCCTCCTCGGCTTATATAGTGCCAGTGTCCAGACAGGGACTGGGCACCGTTTGAGCTGGAGTCAGCACGATGCATTCTCTGCCATTGAGCCGCTCTTGATCCCCGGGAGATTTTGGCCGCTCGCCTCTGTGGTCCAAGTCACATTCTTGGCAGGGAACGGGTCCAAAACATCCCCTCCGGGCAGACTGGCAGTGACAGCAAGAACTCCCTCTCCCCACACAAACAATGGGTCACACTGTCCATTGGGAGAGGAAATTGAGATAATATTATTAATAATTAATTAATATTATTAATTAATTAATATTATTATATGTGATTATTATTATTATTATTATTATTATTTGGGATGGGAATCAGAGGGTCTCTTGGCACCTATCTCTTTTGGTACTAATGTTGGAGCGTGGTCCCTGGTCAAGTGATCCCTGGTCAAAGTAGTCTCTGGTCAAAATGGTCTCTGGTCAAAATGGTCCCTGGTCAAAGTGGTCCCTGCTTAAAGTGGTCCCTGGCCAAAATAGTCCCTGGTCAAGTGGTCCCTGGTCAAAGTGGTCCCCGGTCAAGTGGTCCCTAGTCAAAGGAGTCTCTGGTCAAAATTGTCTCTGGTCAAAGTGGTCCCTGGTCAAGTGGTCCCTGGTCAAAGTAGTCTCTGGTCAAAATGGTCTCCGGTCAAAGTGGTCCCTGGTCAAAATTGTCTCTGGTCAAAATTGTCCCTGGTCAAAGTGGCCCCTGGTCAAAGTGGTCCCTGGTCAAAATTGTCTCTGGTCAAAGTGGTCCCTGGTCAAAGTGGTCCCTGGTCAAAGTGGTCCCTGGTCAAAGTGGTCCCTGGTCAAAGTAATCTCTGGTCAAAATTGTCTCTGGTCAAAATTGTCTCTGGTCAAAGTGATCCCTGGTCAAGTGGTCCCTGGCCAAGTGGACCCTGGTCAAAATGGTTCCTGGTCAAGTGGTCCCTGGTCAAAGTAATCTCTGGTCAAAATTTTCTCTGGTCAAAGTGGTCACTGGTCAAAGTGGTCCCTGGTTAATGTAGTCCCTGGTCAAGTGGTCCCTAGTCAATTAGTCTCTGGTCAATGGTCCCTGGTCAAGTGGTCCCTGGTCAAAGTAGTCTCTGGTCAAAATTGTCTCTGGTCAAAGTCGTCCCTGGTCAAGTTGTCCCTAGTCAAGTGGTCCCTGGACAAAGTGGTCCCTGGTCAAAGTAGTCCCTGGTCAAAGTGGTCCCTGGTCAAGTGGTCCCAGGTCAAAATTGTCTCTGGTCAAAGCAGTCTCTGGTCAAAAAAAGGTTGGGAACCAATGAACCGAACCATCAGTATGGAAACTTAAAATGAATCCCTCCAGAACTTAAAAGGTTCCGACATCCATGTAGATACAATTTTGTTCCTGACAACACAACCATCTAACTAGAGTGTTGATTCTTTCAGGTGGATCTCACCTGTTGGAGCGCTCAGTGCCTCCAACAATGACAGCACCCAGGTTGCATTGACTCACTTTCTCAAGGAGCCCCAAGTGGCACAGTCAGTTAAAACCTTGGGCCAGCAGGACTGCTGACCAACAGGTCAGCGGTTTGCATCCAGGGGAGAATGGGTTGAGTTTCCTCGGTCAGCTCCAGCTCCCCAAGTGGGGACATGAGAGAAGCCTCCAAGAAGGATGGTAAAACATCAAAACATCTGGGCAACGTCCTTGCAGACGGCCAATTCTTTCTGACATGGGGCAAAGCACATACTCTTGACCCTAGACGTTTGTTTCCTGAGACTAGGACACGATGCAGGAGTAGAGATGCCACCTAAACATTAGGAAGGACATCCTGATAGTAAGAGCAGTGGAAGATCGAAGATGGTGGGGTCTCCTTCTCTTGGATGGACCTCTGTTGTGAGGGCTTGAGTTGTGTGTTCCTACATGAAAGAAAGAAGGGACTGGATGGTTCTTCCAACTCTGGGATCCTAGCTTTGCCTCCCATTGAGCTCTGTACGGACGCTGCTTGCTGGCCTGCCCCTCATTTGGGGGTTTCTGGGATGGAGGCGAAGGGAAGTCCTCTTGGAAGTTGGACGGCTGCCCTTCCCGCGCTGGTCAGGCCTTGTGTCCCGTGCCTGCTGGGCTCAGCACTTTCCCCGGCCGGCCCTTTTGTGTTTCCGCAAGTAAGCGATGGGGAATTCAACAAAGCGGGCTCAGCTTAATCGAGCGGCCCAGGGGAGGGGGCACTTTAATCAGCTTCAGATTGGGGAGACCCAATCGGGAGGAGATGGCCTGATCGGGGGCACAGGTTCGGGGAGGGCAGAGGTCGGTGGATGCTGGGATCTCCCAGCAAACCTTTTGAGCCATATAAGTCAAGAGGAACGTCAACACCATGTGTTTTAGTCTTTCCTCTGTGTCTTTTGAGATATTTGAATATAGATATACATAGCTTCATCTATGCTGACGATCGTGCCATCACCGCTCAAGCAGGGAGCTTTGAAATGGTTGAACAGAAGCTTTAGGTGCTCTTACTGCCTATTCCAGGGAAAGCCAGCTGATTCCCCATTTATTGTCAAAGGTTTTCGTGGCTGGAATCACTGGGTTGCTGTAAGTTTTTCGGGCTGTCTGGCCATGTTCCAGAAGCATTCCCTCCTGACATTTCACCCACATCTATGGCAGGCATCCTCAGAAGTTGTGAGGTCGAGGAAGCCTGCTATAGATACAGGCAAAATGTCAGGAGAGAATGCTTCTAGAACTTGTCCATATAGCCCAAAAAGCCGACAGCAACCCAAAGATTCCTAATTTATTTATTTACCTTATTTATATTAAATCTATCTATCTATCTATCTATCTATCTATCTATCTATCCATCCATCCATCCATCCATCCATTCTTCTCTATCCATCCATCCATCCATCCATCCATTCTTCTCTATCCATCCATCCATCCATCCATCCATCCTTCTCTATCTAAATCTCTTCTCTATCTCTATCTATCCATCTTCCATCCATCCTTCTCTATCTCTATCTCTATCCCTATCTCTATCTATCTATCTATCTATCTATCTATCTATCTATCTATCCATCCATCCATCCATCTCCTATCTATCTCTATCTATCTATCTATCTATCTATCTATCTATCTATCTATCCATCCATCCTTCTCTATCTCTATCCATCCATCCATCCATCCATCCTTCTCTATCTCTATCTATCTATCCATGCATCCATCCATCCATCCATCCATCATCCATCCACTTATCCATCCACTTATCCATCCATCCATCCATCCATCCATCCATCCATCCATCCATCCATCCATCCATCCATCCTTCTTTCTTTCTCATTCATTCATTCATTCATTCATTCCATTTATCCACCCATCCATCTTTATCTCTATCTATATCTCTATCTCTATCTCTATCTCTATCTCTATCTCTATCTCTCTATCTCTATCTCTATCTCTATCTATATCTCCATCCATCCATCCATCCTTCTCTATCTCCATCCATCCATTCATCCACCCTTCTCTACCTCTATCTATCTATCTATCTATCTATCTATCTACACTGCTCTATTTTTCAAACGCCAGGTTTTGACTCTCTTTCTAAACACTAGGAGAGAGAGGGCTAACCTGATATCACTAGAGAGGGAATTCCACAACCGAGGGGCCACGACTGAGAAGGCCCTGTCCATCTAAAATGCAGACATGTGCTTTTCATCTTCAGAACGGACAAGCATCTTGAGCTCTAAGGATTACGACCTGGGAAGGAATCCAACGGGAGCACTGCAGCACACCCAAATATTTAGGAGTTACTCTGGCCCGTGCTCTGACTTACAAGAAGCAGTGCCTGAAAATCAAGCATCAAGTGGGCATTGGAAATAATACCATACCAAAGCCAACTGGCACATCCTGGGCATCACAACTAGACACAGTGAAGGCATCTGCCCCTGCGCTTTGCTACTCTGCTGCTGAATGCCTCTCACCACATCAAAACAGTGGATGTGGCCGTTAATGAGGCATGCTGCATTATCACGGGGTGTCTGTGCCCTACATCACTGGAGAAATTACACTGTTTAGCCGGTACTGCACCACCTGACATCCGCCGGGAAGTAACATCCAGCAATGAAAGGACCAAGGTATGGACATCTCCAGCTTATCCTCTGTTTGGATATCAGCCAGCACGCTAATGCTGTAAAACAAGAAATAGCTTTCTAGGATCAACAGAGATACTTGCGGGAACACCTCAGCAAGCAAGAGTCCAAAAATGGCAGGCTTAAACGCAGAAGTGGCTGAAACAGAATGAGAGACTCCTTCCTAGGCACACAGAAGACTGGTTGGCTTGGAAGATGCTGAACAGGCTGCACCACGAGATGAAGAGCCAACCTTAAGAAATGGGGCCACTAAGTGGAGTCCACGACATGTGATTGCAGAGAAAAGCAAACCACAGACCGCTGACTACAATGCAACCTGAGCCCTGCCACATGCACAATGGAGGACCTCCTCATAGCAACACCAGAGGTGCTCCAAGAGGCCAGCTTCTGCTCAAAGGACATTTAGTATAACTTTGTGTTTCTAAATAAATTATAACTGTATACCACATCATCACCCGCTTCAAAAAAAAGGGGAAAGAACAGACTGCGGGAACTATCGAGGTATCTTCCTTCTAACCTCCGCTGGGAAAATCCTCGCAAGAATCCTTGCAGCAGACTGAAAGCCAAAACCAAGGTTACAACATCTGTTATAGAACTCTAGTATGCTGATGACAATGTCATCTGTGCGCATTCAGAAGAAGACCTACAAGCCACCTTTGCAGAAGCATACAAGAAGCTTGGCCTGTCATTAAACATCGAGAAAACCAAAGTGCTCTTCCACCAGTCACTGACTAATCCCTCTCCAATGCCAGAAATACAGCTTAATGGTGTAACATTAGAAAATGTTGACCATTTCCGCTCCCTTGGCAGCCACCTCTCCACCAAAGTCAACATTGACACTGAAATACAACACCGCCTGAGCTCTGCGAGTGCATCATTTTCCAAATGAAGCAGAGAGTGTTTGAGAATCGGGACATCCGTAGGGATACCAAGGTGCTTGTTTATAAAGCT